AAAAAAATTTTACCTATGTGGACACCGTAGATGGAGAGAAAGCTTTGCTATTATGTATAAAGATTTCAAACTACAGGTTATATAACTTATAACATTAATTACCGCTTTTCTTATGCCCTCAAATCCCAATCTTCCGTCCATGACATGTAAAACAAATATGACTGTAAATGGATACATCATGTTATCATATTTGTAGCCATGATTCCTAATCCGATTTAGCATGCATGCATGTATTGTTGTTTTTTTTTATTGTTGTTGACATCATAATTTTTCTTCCATGTATATTCAGACAAACTTGTGATGGTTTCTTGGTTTTGTGAAAGACGCACACAAGAGATCAGAGTTTATGAGGTCACCGTAACGCGGAAAAAAAAAACGCAATAAGCCATATTGGAATAATATATACAGTTTCTAATGGCCTAGTTCTTCTTCAAATCTGTTTATTAATATTTTTTTTTTCCAAATCATATAGAGATGATCAATCAAATATGTGGATGGAGAATTAAAGATTAAAAGGGGAAAATAGGAAGTTTCTTGTTAGCAAGAAAATGGTTAACAAGCTGAAGAGCCTCTCTAGGTTTGAATGTCGGAACTTGGTGTCCCGCTCCTCTCACGGTTACAAACATTAGCCCGTCGTACTCTACCGTCCACCCGCCGACCTTTTTTCAACGGTATAAATAAAAATGATTTATTTTTAGAATCAATCACACATTTGCTTAAAATAACTTAATTTGAACCAAACCTGGTTTTTGGTGTACCAAGGTGTCCATTCTTGGACTGTCTTAAGACCAAGCTTCTTTAATGTGTATCTGGTTGCGGTTACCGGGATTCTTCCGTCTGTATCTCCACTTTTTCAACAACAAAATTTATACGGTTATAGCTAATTTTCCGTCGAATTCTTATGTGAAAAAACCATCAAGGAGTACGTGATGTACCTGAAGACCCATATGCGTAATCCCGCAGAAACAAGTGTTCTTAATGTAGGAAGTATGGAAGCAGGAGCGTCAGACCAAAACGAAATCGTGTCACTGCACATAATTAACCATGCATTGGTATTAGACCGAACACAAAGTATGATTTTAGCAACTATGTTTGCAAGAGTGGTAGTCATATATAGCGGGTGACAAAACCACATCAATCGAAATAACCATAATCCGAAAAATTATAACCTTATTAATCTCGAAATGAATTCTTAAAGTTAAATATATTTATGCCAAAAAATGAGATTATATATCTGGAAAAAATGGGATTATATTCTGTTTCTATATATCATGAACCAAAAAAAATATGATCCAAATTCGAACCGAAATCAGATTAAGCATTTATTAATACCTGCAATGAGTCCAAGGGTAAGAGAGGTTCGTGACATTGGCATGAAGTGCCTCTTGAACATCTCTCCTATTCATATACTTTTCGGTATACTCCGATGCACATGGATCGTACCCGGCCGCCATCCTCCGCCATCCCTCCTATTTATCATCAATTAAAACCGGTATAATCAACTTCTAATTTATTAAAGAAAAGTTTTAAGTAAGGAAAATTAGAAAATATTTACATTTTGGGAGGTGAGGCGAGGGCGGAATTCGCCACGGAAAGCGGGAAGGTGGCGGTTTCCGGCGATGGAAAGAGAAATTGAGGAGTTCTTGGGGGTTGGGACACAATTTGGAGAGTAGAGACTATACATGTCCATAATCTTGTATACATCAAAATACTTATCTAAAGCCGCATTGCATTCCTTGGACACATGTTCTAGTTTGAAATCGCACTCTTGATTCACTTTCTTGTACAATTCATCTGATATCACCGCGTGACCCCACGCGTAATCTATCATTCCTTTCTGATCCGTTTCGTCGTCCAACAAGGCGTTTCC